AAAAAAAAAAAAAAAAAAGAGTGTTTTTTTGGACAATGCCACCCCTCCCCTCACTCTCTCCTAGTTTTCCCTCCCAGATTGAGCTTCTTACACTGCTTTGTCCTTCAAAAGATAGGCACTATTAAAAATTGTCATTTCAGACAGGTGCCAATGGCTCATGCCTGCAATCATAGCTAATCAGGAGGCTGAGATCTGAGGATTTCAGTTTGAAGCCAGCCCAGGCAGGAAAATGTGAAACTCTTATCTCAATCAAGTACTTAGAAAAAGCTAGAAGTAGCAGCATGGCTCAAGTGGTAGAGCTCTTGCCTTGAGCAAAAGAAGCTCAGGGATAGTCAGACACGAGTGACTCACGCCTGTAATCCTAGCTACTCAGGAGGCTGAGATCTGAGAATAGCAGTTCAAAGCTAGCCCAGTCAAGAAAAGCTGTGAAACTCTTATCACCAATAAACCATCAGAAAACTGGAAGTGGCACTGTGGCTCAAGTGGTAGAGTGCTTGCAGGACTGGCAAAAAAAAAAAGTCATTTCATAGTAGCTGATGTGTGGTTTTGGAAGTAAAACTATAAATCTTCCTTAGAGCATAAATTTACACCACTGCTTACTCTATTCATTCACAAATGACCCCATCATTTGACCCAGACATTAGATTTTTCTGAAGCAATATATTGAATTAAAATTATATTGCATTTTTAGTATGCTAGTTATCTCAAATCAGCTGTTTTTATTTTCTTTCTCTTGATATGTTGGTAGTTGAACATGTCTTAAGCTTCCAATAGAGAAGTTATTCTGTTCAACATATAGTATGTTTGTATTCTCCTTAGCTATTTATTTACAAATAATAAAATTCCTTGCTTGGAGTTTGTATATAAGTGACAACTGCTTTCATAATATTATGTCATATATTAAAAGAATATTCTTCATTCTCCTCCCCTCTCACTCCCGTAAAAATTGAAGCCTATAACAGTGATGCTATTGTTAAAAATAGCCCAAGTACAAAGGAGCTAAATAGATATAAGAAATAAAAATAGCCAATAAATACCTGAAGAAATGCTCAATATACCTAGCCAAAAAAGAAATGCAAATAAAAACACAGTGAGCTTCCATCTCACTCCAATTTACATGCCCATCATCAAGAATAAAAACTGCTAGTGAGAATGAGAGGGAAAGGGAACCCTATTACACTGTTGGCTGTAAATTAGTGGAACTATGGTGGAAAGCAGTATGGAGATCCATCCCTTAAAAACCTAAAAATAAACTGGGCACATGTAATCCTAGCTGCTTAAGAGGCTGAGATCTGAGGATCGAGGTTCAAAGCCAGCCCTGGCAGAAAAGTTCTTGTAAGATTTTATCTCCAATAAATTACTGTAAAAAACTGGAAGTGGTACTATGTCTCAAGTTGTAGATGCTAGCCTTGAGCACAAAGAGGCTCAGGGACAATACCCAGGCCCTGAGTTCAAACCCCAGGACCAGCAAACAAAACAAAACAAAAACTAAAAGTACAACTGCAATGTTGGAGATGTTGATCCAAAAGATTGCAAGTCACCATACAATAGACACCTGCAAACCTATGTCCATTGCTACATGTCACCATAGCCCACCTGTCCTACAGCCAATATAAAGAAAATGTGTATGCATCTTTGTGCATATGTGTATACACACATGCTGTATATATTCACATACACACATATATATATACACAATACATATATATACACACATACATATATATATAGAAATGTATGCACATACATATACAATGGAATTTTACCCAACTATCAAGAAGAATAATATTGTGTAATTTTCAGGAAAATGGATGAAATTGGAAAAAAATACTTTGAGTAAAGCCAGCCAGGCTCAGAGAGACCATGAGCACATATTTCCTTTCTTATGTGGAAGTTAGTTAAAAAAAAAATATATATATAAACATATAGTAAAATATACATAGGGCCATATGCATATATACATGATCAAACTGGCTGAAGTATAGTTTGTATGAAGGGGGGATATTTCCCTTTAAAGAGAAAATAGTTTGTGGGACAGAAACATTGTCAGTTGTTTTACTTATAGAACTGGGGCATAATAGGTTCATTAAATTCTTAAGGAGCTGGGTATAGTAGTTCAGACTTATAAACATAGCTACTATAAGTTGTCACTGTATTTGATTTCGGTGCCCTATATATTCATTTTTCTAATTTGAGGAGGGGAAGGGAAATAACAAAATACTGACACAAGGATACAGGTTGACCGATTGTAACAATGAGACATATAAGACACTATATTGAAAATGAACTTTATAACTTGGGGAGGTGGAGGGAGGAGTTGGGGAGGTGGGGAGGGAAGGTATAGTAGGGGAAAAACAAAGGAGGGGTAACAATGCATGGGATAGGAAATGTACTCATTACTCATGTAACTGTAACCCCTCTGTACAGTATCTTTTTTTAATTTTCTAAAAATTTTTAATATATATTTTATTGTGAAGATACTGTACAGACGGGTTATAATTACATGAGTAAGGTAATGAGTCTGTACAATATCTTTACAATAAAAAATAATTTTTAAAAAAGAAGAGGAGATACAGAGGATTATGCTTCAAGGCCAGGCTGGCCAAAAGTTAGCAAGACCCCTTCTCAACAATACAGTTGGGCAGGTGGTGCATGTTTGTGTTCCCAGCTACACAGAAAACATAGACAAGGGGATTCTGCTGTCTGACTGGCCCAGGGCAGAACATGGAATAGCCAGTCTTAAAACTAAAGTAAAAAGGGCTGGAGATGTGGCTAAAATGATAGAGCATCTGCCTGGCAAGTCCAAGGCCCTGACTTCAAACCCTACTAGCACCAAAAAAATAAAAAAATAAAAATCTTGAGGAGTCAATTTTAATATACCCTAATGTCTTTTCTAAGAATGGTCTAGATACATAGTTTTCTGATCAGACTGAAAACTGAAGGAAAGAACTATGCTTTAACTTATTTGTATTAAGAGGTACATACCATTTCTATATGAACACTTTTTTTACCATCAGAATTCATTCTGCAGAGAACTTGTGTGTACATGAGTGTCTGTGTTGTATGTCAACAGAGAGGGTGAAGGAAGGTGAGTGTAGCAAAAATATGCTCGTGTGCAAAAAAAACCAATGAAGTTGGTTAAGATTTGATCTGGGAAAAATGGTGGAGGAGGGAAAGTGATGGGAGGGGGTGAATGGTAAATCAAAATACATATATGACCTGTCAAAATAATCCACTTGTAGAAATAATAAATAATAGTAAATATGGAAACAAAGAGAGAAATATAGATCATTCAAAGAACTCATGCATAAAATCAAGATCTGTCTGTAACAATTTTATGTTATAAAATGATTCTGGGGTATTAAAATTTTCTGGTATCTTAATATTCTTATGTTATTTCTGCTTTGCCTCCATTATGACTTTCATATGAGCCAATGTCCTTTCCAACATATTATAGGCTTTGGTCAAAGAGTTACAAAATGATGTCCATGCAATAAGGCGACAAATCAGAGAGACTGAAAAAATGCAGAGAAACAGAAATACTTCTAAAACCTCAACCCATAAAGCTCAGACACTGGCAGCTTCGATCCTGAATATTTCACGTTCAGACCTAGAGGAAATATTGGACACAGAAGATGAAATGGTAAATTCATTTTAAATATTTATAGTAAAGGCTTCGCAATTATATACTTCTTTTGCTTCATAATTTGTAGGATTTCAATTTTAACATTTTATTCATGAAGGAAAAATTGTTAAGGTGGCAATGAAAGATATAAATTGAGCACTAATTAACTCAAAACACCTTTAGAGAAATGTAACTGTGTAGTCAAAAAATAAGCCTATATTTGTAACCTTTTGAATTGTTCCTTATGTCAATTTCCTCAACTTTCTTTTTTTAATTGTTATTGTAAAGGTGATGTGCAGAGGGGTTATTGTTACATGAAGTAATAAGTACATTTCTTTTTGAACAATGGCACCTCTTCCATTATTTTCTCCCAGTTTTTCCCTCCAGACCCCTCCCCCACAAGTTGGATAGTTCGTTTTCAAGGTAGTGTCTAGAGAGCATCATTGCTGCATTTGTTTACCCTTTGTCCCACCATGTCTCTGCTACCCCTTACTCTCCCCAAATCAGGTAAACTTAAGTATAAGACAAAAGGTACAGAAATCAAAAACAGCGTCAAAGGATGAAAAAAAAAAAGAAACCAAATAACAAAAAGACTCTTGTTTCCAGTTTTTGGAGTTCATTTCAATAAACATAATTTTATATGATCATATGCCCATAACTTTTGAACCTTTGTGATCCTTTTGTAAGAAATCCTTGTTAGTGTTGGTAGTATAGTGGTGAGCATAGCTGCCTTTTCCCATTTCTTTAATTTGATTAATTCTATTTTGTAAGCCGTATTCTTTAGTTTTGTTTTTAAATTCAAACAGGTCTGCAGTATCTTGCTAGAATGGACTTGAACTCCTGGAATCAAGATTTTCTTACCTCAGCCTCTCATTGAAGCTACTATTTATTCCCATTTATTTATATATTCATGTATTCATGTGTTTATTTGGTTATTTGAGTACGAGGAGTTTAACTCAAGGTTTTGTACTTGAGTAGAGGCAAGTACTCTTTATCACTTGAGTCATGCCCCAGCCCTTTTTTCCTTACAGTATTTTTTTTCCAATAGGATCTCATGCCTTTTGTTTCAGCCAACCTCAGACCACCATCCTCCTATTTCCATCTCCAGAGCAGTTGTAATTATATGCATGCACCACGCACCTGGCTCTGAAGCCATTATTTTTGTTGTTGTTTTTCTCTTATGTAGGGTAGGAGTTGAATACAGGGCCTCTCACTTGCTTGACTTGCTCACTGAGGTAATTACTGGTGCTGTGACTCCTTTTGAGAGGGAATCTCATCCTTTTTTGCCCAGGTTAGCTTCCAACTTCAGTCTTCAGTCTCCTAAGTACTATATGCGAGAATAGGAGTGCCTGGCATGACAATGCTTTTAACCATGCCAACTTGAATGGATTCAGGTGTGAGGTTTTAAAAAATTGACTTTTCTAGCTGAACCCCAAATTATTATTATTTGTCAGTCATGGGGCTTAAACTCTGGGCTTGGGTGCTGACCCTCTGCTCTTCAAGGCGAGCACTCTACCACATGAGCCACAGCACCACTTCTGGTTTTCTAGTGGTTTATTGGAAATAAGACTCTCATAGATTTTCCTGCCAGGGCTGGCTTTGAACCAGGATCCTCAGATCTCAGCCTCCTGATTAGCTAGGATTACAGGCGTGTGTCCCTGGCACCCAACTCCCAAATTATTTTTAGCAATATATTTCTTCAAAATTATCTGTTAAAAATATTTATTGTGGATCTGGGAATGTGGCTTAGTGGTAGAGTGCTTGGCTACCATGCATGAAGCTCTGGGTTCGATTCCTCAGCACCAAATAAACAGAAAAATCTGAAAGTGGTTCTGTGGCTCAAGTGAGAGAGCACTAGCCTTAAGCAAAGGAAGTTCAGGGACAGTGCAAGGCCCTGAGTTCAAGCCCCAGAACTGGCAAAAATTAAAATATTGTTTCAAATTGAGAAAAATACTCTGGAAGATGAATTATATGCATAAAGGCATAGGTCTTCATTTTAGTATGTAATTTTAACATAGGATAACTACAATATAAACAGAGAATCTCTTCTATACACAGTATTATTTGAAACCTGTGGAAGATGTTTAATCTTGTTCTATGATGCCTTTGAACTCTAACATGAATAGTAAATTCTTTTATTGCTTGGAAAGATTAAAGAAATAATGTTGCCCAGAACATCCTAATAAATATTTTCTTGGTGAAGGAATGATACACTTACATTTTTTTTTTGTTTTTTTTTGGTCGGTCGTGGGGCTTGAACTCTGGGCCTGAGCACTATCCCTCAGCTCTTCAGCTCAAGGCTAGCGCTCTACCACTTGAGCTACAGCAACACTTCCAGTTTTCTGGTGGTTTATTGGAGATAAGAGTTTCACAGACTTTCCTACCCATGCTGGCTTTGAACCTAGATCCTCAGATCTCAGCCTCCTGAGTAGCTAGGATTACAGGTGTGAGCCACCGGCACCCAGCACACTTACATGTTTGTGTGAGAATCCTCCCACCACACACTCTGTCAGCTCCTAAAAGATACTCTGTAGTAGAACAGTCTGTAACATCTTTTAACTGCCAACAATTATTTGAAAAGAGTCAAAGGAATTCTTCAAGTATTATTTAACATCCTATAAATGACTAATGAATTATGTTTTCCACTATTAGCAGTTATACCACAATGTTTGTGGTATAAAATTCTGAACTTTCAAATCCAAGACCATTATTAAAGGTAGTATCAAATATAAAACACATGGGTGATAGGAATACCTTTAGCCAGAATGTTAACTATACTTTATTACAGATATTTAATTTAAATTTTCTTGATTAATAATAAAAAACAACAAAAATTAGGATTCAGAATTTTATCATTGTCTAGGGGTTTTATCATAAACAAATCTAGCAAAATCTCTCATGTATGTGTATGTACACACATGTATATATGTGCATATTTGGGAATATACAACTACTGTCTTTGTTTGGTATTTTAGATGTCCTCTCTGAGATGAAAAGTTTGGAAAAAGCACCCCCTTTGAATGAATACATTAGGATAACTTATCTCATTTAAGTTTAAATAACTTAGAACAGGGTCTGTTGTTATTTCTCAAAAAGTTAGAGGACTCATTGGTGTGTGAAGTTGAGCCAGAGAACACGTACACACTATGATTTTTCATTCCATATTCAAGTACAAACAAAAAGTTCTGAGAAATATCAGTGTACTCTGAAATATGCTTACTAGCTTTAATCATGGATCAGAACTTATTTATACTTATTTACACTGATACTTGCCCAAGGAGAGTCCAAAGCATTCAGTTTATGTTCTTTTATTTTTCTGTGTAAGAATTGGGGTGTGAAGTTAGGGCCTCATTCTTTTATGTGTTTTTTTCCCTCATGGCTAGTGCTCTTTCACTTGAGCCATGCCTCCACTTTGGCTTTTATCTAGTTAATTGAAGATAAAAATCTTAGTGATTTGTCTGCCCAGGTTGGCTTAAGTCCTGATAGTCAGATTTCAGCCTCCTGAATAGCTAAGATTAAAGACATGAGCTACCAGCACTCAGCTCAACTTATGTCCTGGAAGCTGCATCAGATGGATAAAATCATGTCTAAAACTATGAAATTCTTGTGAAGTTCCTAGCTTGAAGCCTGGCATATAGGAAATTTCAACAAATGTTACTTTCTCAAATGTTTCATAAAGTCCATTTTGTGAATAAACTTATAATTTTAAGTAAATAATCAAATAACACTATAATTTTAGAAATGTTGGCTTAAAAATAGTGACTTCAGCACATTAAGTTAGAGTGTCCTTTGCTCTTAGTAAACCTTTGAATATTTTAAGTCAACAAGGACTTAAATATATCAGTTGTGCCATTTTCTATTCGGTTTATACCAATTATACCTCATTTACCTGTTTTCGACTTCAATTTTTAAATATCACTGAAGCGATTCTTTTAGTCAGCTTTGTCTTTCTTTTCACTTGGTTTTAATCTCTTTCACTCCCATTCAGTCCTTATCTTGAGCTCCACTATGAAAGCAGACATAAACTATTTCTATACTATTGTGAAATATAGAAATATAATATCTTCCATATATTTGAAAAAATCTGTAAATTATTAGCAGACACAGATTTAAATATTCTTACTTTGAGGGGACAGGCCACTCTTGTTAAAATCATATCACAGATGCCCCTCTAGATTTATTTACTAAATGTACTTCCTAATATGACCAAGTTTGTATAAATTCAATTAATACCAATGATTCTACTTTCTTTAGGAAATTGAAAAGACAAAGGTAGATGCTGAAAATGAGAAGGAATGGCTGTTGTACATTCAGAAACTTCTTGAAGGACAGGTATTTCATTTTCTGCTTCATATATTAAAACTTTCCAATAAAAATTCCAAGACTCACAGTTTTACTAGATGTCTAACTTTGCAAATACCCATTATTTACGTCTGTTAGATAAAGAAGTATTCCAAAAGATAGACAAGAAAGTTAACCCTCTATTTGTACTTTTGGACTTAACAAATGAAATAAATGCCTTGGGAAAGAGCCAACATGGGTTTAGCAAATGCATTAATTAAATTATTGAGCCAACCTCTATGCTTGCTAGATTGAAAAGGATCCATTCTCTCAGACCTCTTAGGAAAAGAAATTCTTTATTATGTGTCTTTAAAGTTAGTAGTTGATATGGACACCTGAGGAGTTCATGGGTTTCAGTGACCTTTTACTATGGACCTGTTTCCAGTCAATTCATGTTTTCCTCACAGCCAGACAGCTGTTTATTACTGTGTCTTCCCGCATTCTCTACAATATTTTCTACTGAGACCTCGAGCAGCTTGTTAGTGGGAAGTAAATATTGATTTGGCATCCTGTCAATGCAGAAAGAATGAAAAAATTTCCACCAGAGGCCCCTCAAACATTTTCCTATCGACATTTTCTGGGCCGAGTGGAAAGCTGCATAGAGGATGACAAGGCCAAGACGAGTTGAAATCCCTGAGGGGTCTATTGAGACTGCTGCTGTGACCTGTGTGATACTTTTTCTTTCCTTTCAAGTGTTTTTTTTTTTTAATACGCATATAGTCTTCTGGGATGCGCCCCTCTTGTAAGTGATCAAGGGCAGTTTATTGGCAGGTGAGAGCCCTGCTTTTCTAGTCATAGCCAGCTTTTGTTTTGACATCACTGACAGTGTGTAATATATTCTCAAACTTTTTCATCACAGTTCTTTTTGCTCTTTCTAATTGCTTACTTTGAAACTGATCTGGAGTAAGGAAAAGCTAAAATATATTGGTCAAACTAGCAAAAATTCCTATCAGCCTATGGTTTTCATATGCAAATATACTATGCAAAGATTAAGAGTTGAAGCTGATATTAAGTGCAATTGCTTTATGTTTATGTTAATTTTATTTAAGTCAGGAATAAGTAAATGATATATAAAATGTGCATAATCAGTATTAACTTTATCTATTTTTGAAACCTCTAAAACAGTTTCAATAATCATAGAAGGTGAAGGAACCACCTTTTCTTGAAGTCAAGTACAGATGAACAGGCACTAGACAAAGCCTTTTACAGTGACAACTTACTTTTGAGAAGAAGGCTTATTTCTTAACCATATTGTTTGCCACAACCCATCCCTTATCTGCCATCTCAAGAAGTTCACTAATAATTGTTAAAAGGATTTTTTGCATATTAAAATAATGAAAATAAACATCTTAATGAATTTTTGAATGTTCACCTTGTAGTCATGACCTTATATTTCTTTTAATAAGACATCAATTATGATCATAAAATAATAAACCAGTATTTACCTCTTTATTAAATGTCACTGAAACTATAGATAGACACGCCTAATACATGTAGCAATCATATACATACATCATACATTCTACAATATCTAGCTATATGCTTATTCTGTCCAGTTAGTGTAAAAAATCCTGCTGAAAATAGCATCAGACTGCTTAACACTGCAGTTTGATATAGTGCCTTTTAGTGCCACTGCGCCTGGACTCTGGAATATAATTGCCTGGTAGTATTGATTTAATTGCCCAGGTTTATTTGTGGACTCCTAATTATTGACTGGAGGTAAATTTAATGGAGCAGCCTTTATGAACACTGGGAAACCGCTGCTGTTGCTGTTATACATAATGAACTGCATCATGTGCCTTTAGATCATTTTTCAAGCTAATTTTATTCCACTTTGACAGTATGATAACATTTAAAAAGTCAAAGACTTTTTATTTTTATTACTGACATACATGGTTTTGCTGATGTCTTTGGATTTTGTGAGGGAAAAAAATAGGAACTTCATTGGTTGCACTTGAATGTCACTTTATAATCATACCCAAGAGAAAAATCTATAAAATAGAAAATATCTTCTTTTTGTTGTTGTTGTTGTTGCTGTTAGACTTCTTTTCTTCTCTCTCAATCCCAGCAATTATATTTGTCCTGGAATTTTAAAAACACTTTCTTTTCCTACCAGTTTTTTAGAGTCTGAGATGCTCACAAAATCATATAGAAAAAAAGTATAACTACGTTCATTCATACACTTGATTTATTTTATGAGTTATTCCTTCTTGATTTTGAGTTTTACATAATCTTCAAGTAAAAGAATTGAGCATACTCCATTAAATGCTATTTAATTTGAAGCTGGTATAGTACTGAAATATTTCAATGATAAAATAATAAGAAATCTTTTCTACCCTCCCTCTGTATTATATATTGTATTTGATACATACAATCCTAAAGTTATAGAGTGTGAATCTTCATGTTTTGTCTTAAGTATCAGGTTATAGAAATAGTTGTTGTTAAAAATTTGCCTGTATTCACTTGATGAAATTTATATCAACAAAATATTTACCACAAAATAGAATAGCAATTCTGCTCTGTGGCAATGTGGAAGTATACAATGAAATACCTAGTGCTGTTGTTATCCAAAAGTGAATGAGGAATAAAATCTCAGCTTACAGGTATTTGACTCAGAGTGCAAATATTTGTCATCATTATTTCAAGTAGTCCTATGCAATTGGTAATTTTATATATATTTGATATTTTTCTGCAGTTTACCTTTGTCCCCAGAGATTTCCAATAGTAAGAACCACAGTGGGGGGAAAAAGCCTAAGATCTGCTTTCATTTTTCAGTGACATAGCTACTTTTCATTTTTTCATCTTTGAACATTTGTATTTATATTAACTTTTCATGTCAATATGTTTTTAAATTTCTTATAATTTATGAAATATACAAAGAAGCCATGAAATGGTTAAGCAAGATACAATAAGCATCCAAAACTAATTTTTCTATAGAAAGTAGGAGTGGAGAGTGGAAAAGTAGGCTGGGACCACACTATACAAGATTTTGAGAAAACAGGGGAAAACAAAAATGTTCTTCAGACAAATCTATGAGATCAGCTTCTAGGATGGTTTGAAGAGAAAAAAAAAGGCTGGGAACAATAAGGCAGTCTAGGTGAAGAGTAAGGAGGGTGGTCTCTCCTATTTCTGGAAATAGAAAGGGTAGTATATATGTGATTCACGACATAGTAAATGGATGTATTGCAATGAGACTGGATGAAATGGTCAGAAAGAAGAAATCAGAGATGGTAATTTTAATGCCTTATGTGATGAGAAAGATGAAAATACCTTAAATAATTTTAGAAATAGAAAAGATAAAACAGGTCTTATATGGAAGAGATATTAAACAATTGAAGCTATACAAAATTTGGTAGGTTAGCTATTTAAGGTTACAGTTTTTCTTTAATTCATCCAGCCTTTTGTCTGGCTCATCTCAGTGAAATGTAGCCATTTAATAATAAATTTCAAACCCTTATGTGAACAATAAAAACTAATTTGCTTATGTTGGAACCATATTTATAATTCTGTCTTTTTACTTTTGGTTGTTGAGTGTGTAATCAGACTTTGATCAGTAGTTTTTCTTTAGCTTTAAATACCACTGTTGTTGTTAGTTGCTTCACATCTTGCAAATGCTGAAATTTCAAATTGTTCACTTTCCCCAGTGTCCTCTCTACAAAATATGCTTACCTTCTATAGAGTGCCTTGCAGTATGGCAGCAGGAAGGGTTTATAAATCCCCGTAGCTTTTGTAAATAGAGTATACTACCAGCCTGAAGGTTAAGTGAAAGTTTTTCCTTGCAACTGAAGATATTTATTCTGTGATTGTTTCCTATGTTTCACCTATGTGTGCTCACATACTTGAACACTTACACTCACTGTCTCACACACATAAACCCATCAGTCACTCACAAAGACTTATTCCTCATATAAAGCTGAAGTAGCAAGAGTTTAACTCCAGTCAAGTCTTTGCTAAGATTTTTATTATTTAACAATTTAAGCTTACTTTAATATCATCAGAAAGAGACTTTTGTAATTTAAGTAAAAGGGACTCTTTAAAACATTGTTTCTAATGTATCACTTGATATCTTTTACTTTTTTATTCATATGAGTAGCTCTCTGTGTAATTTTAGTTTTTATAATATGTATTTTTGTACTGTTATAAAATAAAGTAGTTTATTGTTAATATTAAAATTAAGTTCCTATTAACAGTGATTGTGAATTTTTTTTTTGTCAGTCGTGGGGCTTGAACTCTGGGCTTGGGCGCTGTCCCTGCGCTCTTCAGCTCAAGGCAAGCACTCTACCTCTTGAGCCACAGTGCCAGACTTTCCTGCCCGGGCTGGCTTTGAACCACGATCCTCAGATCTCAGCCTCCTGAGTAGTTAGGATTACAGGCATGAGCCACCGGTGCCAGGCAACGATTGTGATTTTTATTTGAAGTTAGCAATGCCATTCACTGAACAAACTTTATTGAATGCTTATTTTATGTAAAAGTGCTTATTAGCTTGGAGAACAAAAGGGATAATTCAGATTGGGAGAAACTATAAGACTTGTACATTGCCAGTCAAAATCAAAATGGTACCACCATTGTAGAAAACATTTTAGCATTTCCTCAAAAAATTAAGCTTCTAATTATCCAGAAATTCCACCTGAATATATTTGCCAAAAGAACTGAAAACAGATTCAAGTAAATGCTTATACACCAATAGCAACTCTTTCACAGTAGTTGAAAGTAGAAACAACCTAGATGCCCATTGAGAAATTAATAAACAACAAAGCAGAACTCTCTCTCTATATATATATATGTATATAATTGACTAATCTACCTTAAAAATGAATGAATGATTAACTGATACATAGTATAAGATGGGTGACCCTTGAGGACTTAGTGTAATGAAGGCATTATACTACATAAAATAAGTAAAACATGAAAGGACAAATTCTGTAATGCCTGTACTTACATGAAGCATACCTAAATTACTCAAATTCATAGAGACAGAAAGCAGAAAGGTG